ATCAGTGCTAGAAGGCAGTGGGGTTTGTGGTGGTGGTGGTGGTGGTAGTGGTGGTGGTGAAGGAGGAGGAGGAGGAGGAGGAGGAGGAGGAGGAGGAGGAGGAGGAGGAGGAGCACTATAGAGTCCTTAGTGTTCTCTGGGCTTGGTCGTTTTCTTGCAGACGTTTCATGACCCAACTAGGTAACATAATCAGTGCTAGAAGGCAGTGGGGTTTGTGGTGGTGGTGGTGGTGGTGATGGTGAAGGAGGAGGAGGAGGAGGAGGAGGAGGAAGAGGAACAGCAGCACCATGGGGTCCTTAGTGTTATCTGGGCTTGGTCCTTTTCTTGCAGACATTTCATGACCCAACTAGGTAATATCATCAGTGCTAGAAGGGAGTGGGGGGGAGGAGGAAGAGGAGGAGGAAGGCTGTGGGGTCCCTGGTGCTCTCTGAGCTTGATGGTTTCCTTGCAAACGTTTCATGACCCAACTAGGTAACATCATCAGTGCTAGAAGGGAGTGTGGTTTGGGAAGGGGAGGAGGAGGAGAAAAAGGCAGACGATTGTGGGGGTCCTTGCTGCTCTCTGACATTGGTCGTTTTCTTGCAGAGGTTTCATGACTCAGATTAGGTTAAGGTCATCAGTGCCAGCTAACAGGTGTCTGCTGTTAAGGCTGTTTCTAAGCCAGATCTCTGGATCAACTCGGAGATCTGGTGACCTAATGGGCAGGTGGGAATCCCCTTGAGAAACAGGAGGAAGTGTGGCAACTAAGACCATGGTCAGAGAAGAGAAACCGGAGTCCCGTCCGGAACTGTAACCGGAGAAGGCGCCTCAGACAACACACACACACACACACACACACACACACACACACACACACACACACACACGCTGCCAATCCCAGTTCTCACGAAGATGAAAGGAAGGAGGTGGGAAGCGCATCCAAGCTTGCAGAGATTCTGTTACTGTAACCTTATAGTAGGCAAAGCCGGATTAGCCTGCGTGGTTTCGTAGGTATGGTCTACCTGGAAGATTGACAGGTGAATACAGGGAAAAGCCACTTCAAAAAAAAAAAAAATCTGATCCTCCTGAGATCAGGGGGAGGGTGGCTACAGACTGGAGCAGTTTGTGTTTGTGTGTGTGTGTGTGTGTGTGTTTTCACACCAGCCTCAAGAAGCCAAAAATAAAATATCTTGGATTGTACCCAAGTCAAAGTGCTGAGCTTTGTTGACTGCCGGAAAGTTTTAAAATGGAACTAGCTAAGGACGATATGGTTCTACCCGGGATTGGCTTGAAGGCAGGGTTGTGTGGACGCCGCAGAACAGAGGTCTAGGGATGAAGGCACCAGGCCAGAAAGCAGGAGATGGTGAGTTCTAGTCTTGCCTTAGGGACTAGAAAAACGGCTAGGTGACTTTGAGCCAATCACCAAAGCTGAGTGTCTTTGGGCCAATAACCAGGAGACTGTGAGTTCTAGTGTCTATGGCACAAAAGTTGGCTGAGTGGGCCAATCACCCGGAGACTGTGAATTCTAGTGTCGTCTAAGGCACAAAAGTTGGCTGAGTGACTTTTTGGGCCAATAACCAGCAGACTGTGAGTTCTAGTCCCATCTAAGGCACAAAAGTTGGCTGAGTGACTTTGAGCCAATAACCAGGAGATTGTGAGTTCTAGTGTCTGGCACAAAAGTTGGCTGAGTGATTTTGGGCCAATCACCCGGAGACTGTGAGTTCTAGTGTCGTCTAAGGCACAAAAGTTGGCTGAGTGACTTTGGGCCAATAACCAGGAGACTGTGAGTTCTAGTGTCGTCTATGGCACAAAAATTGGTTGAGTGGGCCAGTGACCCAGAGACCATGAGTTCTAGTGCTATTTAGGGCACGAAAGCTGGCTAGGTGATTTTGGGCCAGTCCCCAGGAGGCTCTGAGTTCTAATCCCACCTTATGCACAAAAGCTGGCTGGGTGACTTTGGGAGATGGTGAGTTCTACTAACGCCTTGGCCTTTAAACCCAGCTGAGTGATTTTTGGCCAATCCCCCCCCCCGTCTCTCTCTCCGGCCAACCTACCTCATAAGGTTGTTGTTCAGGAAAATAGGAGGAGGAAGATCTATTGGGTGTCTTTGCCATCTTGAATTATTTGCAAAGTAATCAAAGCAGGACAGCAATAAATAAATAAATGGACATTTGCCCCCCCAAGTAGGAATGCTAAAGTGCTACTGACCAAGTTGGTGGCTTTGTTGATGGGTCTTGTTATAGCCCTGGCCAGAACGGACAGCCTTTGGTCCAGCATACAATAAGCTTTCTTGTCTCTGACGGGGCTGGAATAGAAGACCTCCAGGATCCCTTCCAGCCGTATTGATTCTTCGAGTCAGAAAGCATTACAGCAGTGGTTCTCAACCTTTTTAATGCTGCGACCCCCAACCGGTCGTAAGTCGAGGACTACTCAACTGGTGCAGCACCGTTTGCAGAATGGGACTTTTGGCGGGCTCAGCAGGGCAGAGACAGCCTGGACAATTCCTATTGGCTTTTGAAAGCCAATAGAATTAGACTCTATTCAAGAGAGTCTATTCTATTGGCTTTCAAAAGCCAATAGAATAAAAGGGAGTAGCACAGCTAAGGAAAAGGGGGAAAAAATGGCGGACTGCGTTGTTTGGCGACCCCCGTGAAATGGTCGTTCGACCCCAAATGGGGTCCCGACCCACAGGTTGAGAACCACTGCACTACAGCTTCTTCTCTGACAGGACGATGGGCTTAAGCCTTTTGGATGAAAAGTTGTTTTTTTTTATAAACAATTTTTATTGATTTTCCATTTTACACCAACAGAAGCTTAAGAGCCAGCGTGGAGATATGGTGGTCAATTACAAAAGAAACAACAACATAATAAATATACAATTCACACAATGTCTGTCAAAATTTCCCTCTCTATGTAGAATATTATACAGTAATTAAATAGATTCAAATAAATTCATTCATTAATATATCTAAATATAAGTTTCCTTAATCAATAGAAACTTTCAACCGCTCAATATCAATATAATAATCAAATTAGTACAATCCTATAACCAATTCGTTCATTAATATATTGCTATATATAAATTAAGTGCTTAAATCAAAACTAGCGCTATCTGTTTAAATTATTGTAGTCTCATTAGTACATTTCTAACACAGATTTTCATTAAATATATAGCTAAATATGAATTTCATTCATCACTAAACATTTACAAAAGCTCCTTATCTATCCCAAAGATCCTGTTTTAATCTTTATTAATTTTTCAAATATTTAAATTTAAATTAACCTATTTATTTTACTATTCAGGGACCCCAAATTTCTCTTATTTAAACATATTAGCTCCAAAACTAAGTTCTTATATTTCTCAACTATATTTCTATTCTTTTTCAGTAATTCTCCAATTATTAATTCCATCTCATTCAAAAAAAAAACACAAACAAGAAAAAACAAACATACACAAAAAAATACATATACTTACTATCCTTCAATATTAAATTCTAAATTATTTCATAATAGCCTCCCTTTTAAACAAAAACCAAATCTAAAACAGTCCGAATTGCTATAAACATTTTATCATCCATAATTATCATCTCAAATTTAATATTTAATGAAGAGAAGGATGAGGGGGGACATGATAGCAGTCTTCCAATATCTCAGGGGCTGCCCCAAAGAAGAAGGAGTCAAGCTCTTCTCCAAAGCGCCTGAAGGCAGGACAAGAAGCAATGGATGGAAACTCATCAAGGAGAGAAGCAACCTAGAAATAAGGAGAAACTTCCTGACAGTTAGAACAATTAATCAGTGGAACAACCTGCCTCCAGAAGCGGTGAATGCTCCAACACTGGAAGTTTTTAAGAAGAGACTGGACAGCCATTTCTCCGAAATGGTATAGGGTTTCTTGCCTGAGCAGGGGGTTGGACTAGATGACCTCCAAGGTCCCTTCCAACTTTACTATTATTATTATTATTATTGATCATCACACAGTCAGCCAGATGTTCAGACTGGATTTGGCATTTTGTCTACCTATCGAGTCCTTACCCAGGACCTGGGATAGGCAGATGTGGATGTTTGATGGTATTACAGGTATCGTCGCAGGATGGAAGCAGTTCCTAATAAGGCCGCCTTTTGCAATTGACTAATAGCGAATTTGTCAATGCCAATGGTGTTCAAGTGGTGCTCCAGTTGTTTTGGGATTGCACCCAAGGAGCCTATGACTATTGGTACTACCCTTGCTTGCTTTTGCCACAGTCTTTCTATTTCTATTTGTAGGTCTTTGTATTTTGTTATCTTCTCCAGTTCTTTCTCTTCTATTCTGCTGTCTCCAGGCACTGCCACGTCCACTATCCAGACTTTTTTGTCTTTCTTATCGACAATTGTTAAGTCTGGGGTGTTATGTTGCAGGTGCTTGTCTGTTTGAATTCTGAAGTCCCAGAGCAGTTGAACTTTATCATTTTCTATGACTTTCTCTATTTTATGATCCCACCAGTTCTTGCTTACAGGCAAATGATATTTTTTGCAGATCTTCCAATGCACCATTGTTGCTACTTTGTCATGCCGCTATTATTATTATTATTATGGATCATCGCACAGTCAGCCAGATGTTCAGACTGGATTTGACATTTTGTCTACCTATCGAGTCCTTACCCAGGACCTGGGATAGGCAGATGTGGATGTTTGATGGTATTACAGGTATTGTCGCAGGATGGAAGCAGTTCCTAGTAAGGCCGCCTTTTGCAATTGACTAATAGCGAATTTGTCAATGCCAATGGTGTTCAAGTGGTGCTCCAGTTGTTTTGGGATTGCACCCAAGGAGCCTATGACTAGTGGTACTACCCTTGCTTGCTTTTGCCACAGTCTTTCTATTTCTATTTGTAGGTCTTTGTATTTTGTTATCTTCTCCAGCTCTTTCTCTTCTATTCTGCTGTCTACAGGCACTGCCATGTCCACTATCCAGACTTTTTTGTCTTTCTTATCGACAATTGTTAAGTTGTTATTATTATTATTATTATTATTATTATTATTATTATTAATATCTCATTCTGGGTTTCTTTCGATTCCAAATAGGTTTCCATAGTCGAGTCTCTAGTTCCGCAAATGGCTGTCCCCTTGTCTCCTTCCACACTGTACACAGGCAACAAGAGGTCTCCCATTATCCATTTTATTAGGCTGATGAAAAGTTTTTAATTTCTGAAAAATTGCCAGCTTGCCAGAGAAGAGTTAATGAGCCTGGCTGTTTGCAAGCTCGCAAACTTCCTGGTTGGCTCCAGCCATCTGTGGGAACGAGGCTGAATCCAGCTTTTCTTTGAGCAAACAGGTGATGGACGTTCTTCCCACCAGCTATTAGTGTCTGCTTTCCCTTTTTTTTCTTCCTCCAGAGTGCCTACAAAAGAAGCAACTTCAACCCGGGGTTTTTGCCTGAGCGATGTGAAGAAAACCACCTGGAACATCAAGGTAAGGGTCCCTTTCAGAAGCCTTCTGCGTCGTCCTTCGCCGTCTCGTTCTTGCACGGAGAACGTGCAACTCTCCCCACTGGCTTTTGACAAAAGCAGGCAAGTCTTTTCTAAATGTGAGTTGTGGAGCAGGGGGCTGGCAAAGGACGTGGGGAGGAGATGGGGGGGGTGTCTTTCATCCCCTCCTCTTGGTTTGAAAAATTGTGATTTGGAGGAATTGTTTTTTTTTTTTTCCCTCTCCTCCCCCATGTTTTCTGGCTCAATTTTCTCCTAGCTTCGGATTGTTGTTGTGGAGCTTTGCCTGGAATTGCAACCCATTTTGAGGTCCTGGAATCAAAGCTCGGCTTGCGTTCACACAACAGTCCCCCCCTCCCCAGTTTTAACTTAAGTGAGGTTTTCTGCGCCCGTCTCTTGGGGGGAGAGTTTGTGATAACGGGGTGTGGGTGTGTGTGTTGGAAAAATCCTGATTAATTGAATCGAGTGTGTATGTTTACTTAAGTGTGGGCAAAGGTACTGGGTGAATTCAAGAATGCTGAGTATGAAGGCAACCCGCAAATTATCTTGAAATAAACAATGATTGAAATGTTCCAGTTTAGAACGGCACGCCAAGTGGAGCTTAAAAATAACTTTACTGGGCTTCTTCAAGCCAGCCTTGACTTTCCCTTCAGAAGGAAATTAAATTCTGGAGGGACCAAAAAATTGTGTGGTTTTTTTTTTTTTGTAGCCCAGGAGAACGGAGTCGTTTTTTTCCCCTTTGCAACTGTGGGTCGTTGTTAAAAATGGCTCTCCAGCACGCAGTTTTATATCAGATGCATTTGGGGGTGCTGGCTTTGCGCTCGGCACATGCTTTGAGCGACTCTTGTTGACGAACCACGGCTCTGACCTGCAGAAGAAATTCAGCTGTGTTTTGTTTTGTTTTAAATAAGGACCAGAGGCTCCGTCTTTATTCCAGTTTGGTGTGAGGTTGGGCAATTGTGGCTTCTGTTTATAGCGGGTTTATTATTTAGAAACTCTTTGGTGGTTTATGCAAAGGAAAGGCCACTTAAATGAGAGAAGGGATTTCTTTTTTTTTTTTTTTTTTACTTTTTTCCAAAGTTAAAATACAAAATAAAGAAAAAAGAAGAAACAAGGTGACAATCCATCACCTGATACTAATAGTAATTTTTTAAAAAAAAAAAGTGTGTAAGAAAAAAATAACAAATAACAAATACCGGTAGGTCATTCATAAAAAAATCCACCCGGGCTGAAGACTGCAACTCATAGTTTCTGCTCCCCTTACATAACAGGTCTACAAATACGGGCAGTCCTCAACTTACGACCACAAATTTGAGCCCAAATTTATCTGTTGCTAAGTGAGATGTTTGTACCTTGCTCAATAGTAGTAACTGTGAGAGGGATCTCGGAGTCCTAATGGACAATCACTTAAATAGGAACCAGCTGTGTGCTGCAGCTGCCAAAAAGACCAACACAGTGCTAGGCTGCATTAACAGAGGGATAGAATCAAGATCACGTGAAGTGTTAATACCACTTTACAAGGCCTTGGTAAGGCCGCACTTGGAATACGGCATCCAGTTTTGGTCACCACGATGTAAAAAAGATGCTGAGACTCTAGAAAGAGTGTAGAGAAGAGCAACGAAGATGATTAGGGGACTGGAGGCTAAAACATATGAGGAACGGTTGCTGGAATTGTCTAGTTTAACGAAGAGAAGGACGAGGGGGGATATGATAGCAGTCATCCAGTATCTCAGGGGCTGCCCCAAAGAAGAGGGAGTCAAGCTATTCTCCAAAGTGCCTGAAGGCAGGACAAGAAACAATGGATGGAAACTAACAAAGAAAGAAGCAACCTAGCATTAAGGAGAAACTTCCTGACAGTTAGAGCAATTAACCAGTGGAACTACCTGCCTCCAGAAGCTGTGAATGCTCCAACACCGGAAGTTTTTAAGAAGAGACTGGACAGCCATTTGTCCGAAATGGTATAGGGTTTCCTGCCTGAACAGGGAGTTGGACTAGATGACCTTCAAGGTCCCTTCCAACTTTATTATTATTGTTGTTATTGTTGTTGTTGTTATTATTATTATAAAAATGAGTTTTGCCTCATTTTATGGCCCTTTTTTGCCACAGTTGCTAAGTGAGTCCCTGCAGTTAGTCATTAAGTGAATAGGGCTTCCCCCATTGATTTTGCTTGTCAGAAGGTCGCAGAAGGGGACCACGTGACCCCCCAGGACGCTGCGTCCGTCGTAAATATGAGTCAGTTGCCGAGTGACCGAATTTTGATCACAGGACCACATGGACGCTGCAACGGTCATCAGGGTGAAAAAATGGCCGTGTCGTTTTTTTCCAGTGCTTTTGTGACTTTGAATGGTCACTAAATGAACTGTTGTAAGGACTACCTGTAGTTAGAAACTTTCCCATCTCTATTTGATAAGAATATTATGGGACGTTAAAAAACGTCTCTCCTGTGGAAATTTAGAGAAAGGGTTTTCTGTTGTGGTAGCCAGCCTTACAGCAAGAGCACTTAGATTTATATAGTATGTTGCTTCGCACTGCGCTTACAGCCCTCTCTCAACAGTTTGCACAGTCGGCCTATTTGCCCCCCCCCCCAACAATCCGGGTCCTCATTTTACCGACCTCGGAAGGACGGAAGGCTGAGTCAACCTTGAGCTGGTGAGAATCGAACTGCTGGCAGTGGGCAGAGTTAGCCTGCAATACTTCATTCTAACCACTGCGCCACCATGGCAATAGAGTAGAGTAGAGTAGAGTAGAGTAGAGTAGAGTAGAAAAAAAAAGCATAATGATAAGAATAAAATAGAGCAGAATATAGAATAGAATATAGAATAGAATATAGAATAGAATAATAAGAATAGAATAGAGCAGAACACAGCAGAATAGAATATAGAATAGAATAGAATAGAATAGAATTAAGAATAGAATAGAATAGAATAATGATAATAGAATAGAATAGAATAGAATAGAATAGAATAGAATAGAATAGAATAATGATAAGAATAGAATAGAGCAGAACAGAACAGAATAGAATAGAATAGAATAGAATATAGAATAGAATAGAATAGAATAGAATAGAATAGAATAGAATAGAATCAGAACAGGAATAGAATAGGATAGGAATAGGAATAGGACTTACATTTATATACCGCTTCACTGTCCTTTACAGCCTGCTCTAAGTTGTTTACAAAGTCAGCCTCTTGCCCCCAACAATCCGGGTCCTCATTTTACCAACCTCGGAAGGACAGAAGGCTGAGTCAACCTTGAGCCATTGAGAATCGAACTGCTGGCAGTCGGCAGAATTTGCCTGCAATATTGCGTTCTTGCCACTGCCCCACCAGGGCTCCAGCCTAAAAGGGTTTTCTGTGATATTTGTCCTCTCTGTTCCGAGTTCATTTCATGACCCAACTAGGTAATGTCATCAGTGCAAGGAGGGAGTGGGGTGTGGGAGGAGGAGGAGGAGGAGGAGGAGGAGGACTGTGGGGTCCCTGGTGCTCTCTGAGCTTGGTGGTTTCCTTGCAGACGTTTCATGACCCAGCTAGGGAACAACATCAGTGCTAGAAGGGAGGGGGGTTGCTCTCTCTTATGATACAAATGGTTTGACTTGCTAATGTTGGTGCGGATGTGGTTTTTTTCTTGGTAGCTCCTTGATTTAGTTGTTGTTAGTTGCGAAGTCGTGTCCGACCCATCGTGACTCCATGGACCATGTTCCTCCAGGCCTTCCTGTTCTTTACCATCTATTCTGGAGTCCATTGACGCTCACGCCTCCTGCTTCAGTGACTCCATCCATCCACCTCCTTCTCTGTCGTCCCCTTCTTCTCTTGCCCTCCATCTTTCTCAGCATCAGGCTCTTCTCCAGGGAGTCCTTCCTTCTCATTAGATGGCCAAAGTACTTGAGTTGAACTTCAGGATCTGGCCTTCTAAAGAGCACTTGGGGTTGATCTCCTCTAGGACTGACCGGTTTGATCACCTTGCAGTCCAGGGGACTCGCAGGAGTCTTCTCCAGCACCAGAGTTCCAAGGCCTCCATTCTTTGAACTATGGGGCTGGAGAAGACTCCTGCAAGTTCCCTTGATTTAGGGAACTACTTAATTAGGGAATTACCTAATTATGGAACTTTAGTTGTGGTGCTCTCTGAGCTTGGTGGTTTTCTTGCAGATGTTTCAAGGCCCACCTGAGTAACGTCATCAGCGCTGGTGATGTTACTGGTTACCGTTCTGTTACTATAGCACTGATGATGTTACCTAGGTGGGTCATGAAACGCCGGCGAGAAAACCGCCAAGCTCAGAGGTTTGCATCAGCTAGCACCAAGGACCCATGGGTGGCCCTCTTCCTCCTCCCCCTCCCTCCCAGCATTGATGAATGAGTTGTCTAGTAGTTATCTAGTAGAATCATGAAACATCTACAAGAAAACAAGCAAACTCAGAAAGCACCACGGAACCACAGTTCTCTTGCTCCTCCCTACTTCCCTCTCTCCCAGCACCGATGACGTTACCTAGTTGGGTCATGAAATGTCTGTAAGGAAACCCCCAAGCTCAGAGAGCATCAAGGACCCCACAATCATCATCATCATCTTCTTCTTCTTCTTCTTCTTCTTCTTCTTCTTCTTCTTCTTCTTCTTCTTCTTCTTCTTCTTCTTCTTCTTCTTCTTCTTCTCCTTCTCCTTCTCCTTCTCCTCTTTCTCCTTCCTCCTCCTCCTCCTCCTCCTCCTCCTCCTCCTCCTCCCTTCTTCTCTCCCCCTTCCCTCCCTCCCAGCACTGATGAGGTTACCTAGTTGGGTCATGAAACATCTACCAGAAAACAATCAAGCTTAGAGAGCACTAAGGACCCCACAGTCATCTTCCTCCTCCTCCTCCTCCTCCTCCTCCCTTCTTCCCTCCCTCCCTCTTAGCACTGATGATGTTACCTAGTTGGGTCATGAAACATCCACAAGAAAACAACCAAACTCAGAGACCACCAAGGAACCACAGTTCTCCTCCTCCTCTTCCTCCTCCTCCTCCTCCTCCTCCTCCTCCTCTCTTCTTCCTTCCCTCCCTCCCTCCCTCCCTCCCTCCCTCCCAGCATTGATGATGTTACCTAGTTGGGTCATGAAACATC